CTGGCGACCGAGCCCATTGTCAGAGATAGAAACCTACCCATTCACGCGAGTATTGTTTGGACTTGCCCCTTCGCCGTTCCTGTTGGGAGGCGTTCTTGAATGCCATTTAGACGCATGGGCCAAGAAATACCCGTAAGAAAGCGAACGTCTTCGTCGAAGCTTCTACGTGGACGATCTTCTGTCAGGCGGACAGAATGTGCCACAGGGTAGGTTGCGTAAGGAAGTAGCGAAGGAGATAATGACTGATGCCTCGTTTGTACTTCACAAGTGGCATTCCAACGAGCCTCAGTTGGAAGACAGACCGCAAAGCACACCTCACGAAGAGCAGTCATACGCCAAACAACAGCTACAAGCCCAGTCAAGCAAGTCAAAACTTTTAGGGGTTAAGTGGAACAAGGAGGACGACACGATTGCAGTACAACTCCCGGAGACAAGTGACAAGCCGACTAAACGAGGAGTATTAGCGAAACTGGCCAAGGTCTACGACCCCCTCGGACTTGCCTCACCGACCACACTGCAAGGAAAGCAAATCTTTCGCGAGATTTGTGATTCTAAGGCTTCGTGGGATTCAACCATCCCAGATGTTCTCCGAATGCAGTTCCAAAGGTGGGAAGAGTCTCTGCCAGCGGAGGTGACTACATCAAGGCCCATAGCACCCTATCACGAGGCAACTGATGGTCTTGAGCTCCATGCGTTCGGAGATGCGTCGACTTATGGAATCGGAGCCGCCGTCTACTCCGTCGTGCATCAAAGAAGAGGAGTCACCCAAACAGTGGTGACAGCGAGGGCTAGATTGGCGAAGAAAGACATGACGATTCCCAGATTAGAGCTTGTTAGTGCTCATATGTCTGCCAATCTAGTTACCAACGTTAGGAACGCACTCCAAGATTTGCCAGAGCCCACAGTCTATGGATGGCTTGACAGCACGGTGGCCTTACATTGGATACTGGGAAACGGCCAGTATCGACAATTCGTTGCGAACCGAGTACGCAAAATAAGAGAGCATCCAGAGATTCGTTGGAGACATGTCCCTACCCTTGACAACCCCGTCGATCTAGCAAGTTGGGGAGGCCAGGTCACCAACGCGGTACTATGGTGGAATGGCTCAACTTGGTTAAGTGACCCTAGGAAGTGGCCAGAGAATCTTGTGACAGCAAAATCCCCAGCGTCGAAAGAGGAAGCAAAAGCCAGCAAGGAGGTGCTTAACCTAGTTCAAGGAAAACCCAGCCAAGACCATAACGAATTCGACGAACTCCTTGAGCGAAATGACCTTCGTCGAACGCTTCTTGTCCATGCTTGGGTACGACGGTTCACCACCCACAGGTAGTCACAAAGGTCTTCTAACAAGTGAGGACATAAAAGAGGTGAAACAGTGGTGGATTAAAAGAGTACAGCAGCTTGAGATGCAAAAGCCCAGTTTTGAACGGACCAAACAGATGTTAAACCTGGTTCCAAACGCAGCTGGGGTACTCGAATGCACGGACGAATTCAAGGGAAGCACCCAGTATACCTTCCAGCAGATGCCATTTTCACAAAGAAGCTTGTACAGCGAATCCACACTGAAACCCTTCACGGGGGCATGTCCCTGACCATGGCCGCCATTCGCGAGGAATTCTGGATCCAGACCCTGAGAAAATTAGTGAAGTCTGCAAGATCAACCTGTTGGGGCTGGAAGCGTTTCCGTGCATTATCAGTAACAGCACCACTCCCTGGACTGCTTCCTACAAAGCGTACTAACATCAGAGGAGCTTTCGAGGTCATTGGGACCGATTTTGCGGGACCAATCCTCTACAAGTTGCGAAACAAAACAGAAGGGAAAGCATATTTGGTCATTTTCTCGTGCAGCTTGTCAAGGGCAGTACACCTGGAACTAGTCACAAACCTAGAAACCAGTAAGTTTTTGTCATGCCTAAGACAGCTGATAGCAAGAAGAGGACGTCCGAGTGTGATATACTCCGACAACGGAAGTACGTTTGTAAAAGCCGCAAAATGGCTGAAGCAAGCAAGAGGAGATGAAGAGTATAATGGGTTCCTGGAATCGCATGATATTCAGTGGAGATTCAACTTGAGTCGCGCGCCATGGTGGGGCGGACAGTTTGAACGGCTGATTGGCATTGTGAAGACTGCTATGTACAAGGTTATTAGAAGAGCAACCCTTTTCTTGGGATGAACTAAGTGAAGTGTTGATGGACGTCGAAACTCAAGTAAATCAACGCCCCCTCAGCTATGTTGAAGACGACTTGGAATTACCTACCCTGACACCAGCCTCCTTTCTATTTCAGCGATCCTCCCAACCTCCTGAAAGACCAGCCTGCCAGATCCATGACAAGGATTTGCGTAGAAGAGCCAAATTTCTGAAATCCTGCAAGGATCAGCTGTGGAACAGGTGGCAAAGCGAGTACTTAACTGCCTTGAGAGAGCGCGACAACCTGGTCCACAAGACAGCCAAGTACCAGGTCAGAGTTGAGGAGGCCGTAATTGTACGATCTGACAGCAAAAATCGAGGCAAGTGGCCTCTAGCCATCGTCGAGGCAACTTACCCAGGCCCGGACGGCCACACGAGGGCTGTTCAGCCGAGAACGAGTAAGGGAGTTATTCAGCGACCAGTCCAACACTTATATCCTTTGGATTTGCAGAGTGAGCCCAGGGTCACCCAGCCAGCAGTCTTGGAACAGCAGTTGAAACCACCTGAAACCATCTGAAACCCCCAAGGAAACCATCTGAAATTACCTG